CCATACATTGGTAATGTCTGACTGGGCCTCGTGTCAGTTTATGTTCAATAAATTGGGCCCCGAGGTCAAAAAGGTTAAGAACCCCTGATTTAATCAATATATTAATGTGGATCAATGCATTGTTGCACTCCTAAGAACAACATTATAAATTACAAAATCATAACTTCAGTCAAGCAACACAGTACAGTGTCATGCACAGATGTCCCTTCAAACAAAAGTTCACTGAAGATAAAACTTTCTGTTGACCTTGACCAGAAGTTTTATTGACTTCTCTGGGCTTGGATGGTTCTGGGAAACATGGTCCACTGCATTAGTGATCCAGATTTTATTTATTTATTGATTGATTGATTGATTGATTGATTGATTGATTGAAGTTTAGGTGTCTTATCTTCCAGACCAAAGATTATAAGGGGCAACCTTGTCTGTCGTCAGCAACAAGTCCTTAAGGCAGATTTTGTGATGTTTGGGCTTCTTTCTGTGGTCCTAAAACTCATTTGAGACCACAAACACTAACTTGTCAGCTTCAGCTAGGGTCTTTACAAGGTTTTTACTAGGGATGCAAGTTATCAATTAATGCATTAATTTAAAGTTGATTGATCTTATCAATTAACTATTAATTAATAAGTGCCAATTTTCTTAAAAACCTGAGTTTTCTCTTAAATCAAGATGGTCTTTCCATAACATAAGGTCTCATTTAGAGAGACCTGAAACACAAAAACYTGACAGCAGTTACTCAAATGTGTGACTAATAAAAGTAAACATAAATTATCTTAACATTCAGACATTTAGCAAATAGAAATCAAATTTGGAATCTCAGCTCACCTAAAACTATAAAGGTTTAATCATCAGTGAGGAAAAAAATGGTTGGCTTTTTATTTATACAGTGTATGTAAAAAACAAACAAACAAAAAAAACTGGTTTAAATTCTAAATTGGGAAATACAAATAAAACTGAAGTCTATAAAATATCTCGTATTTATTTAGTTTTTATTAGGCATTTTCTCCTGTTGACAGTAATTTGATGTTTCACACTTTGTCTTAATTTTCTTTTAGATTTTTACAAGAGTGAAGTCATTTGCGACTCACTGGTGAGTATCCTTCTTCAGATTTTTCCTTTTTGCCTGCTTTGATGGGTTAAGGATGGAATTACCTACAGTTAGATGGTGTTGTATCTTTATTTTTAGATTCCTATATGAATTAAAAACTGCTGAGGCATCACAAACTCAGCAACGTTTAAAGTGTCACTGTAGCTAATAGAACAGTTTTCCAAACACTTTAGTTACAGTGATGTTTATTAAAATATTGATCTGAGTAAAAGCTTAGGTTGATCTTGATTATGCAGTACATCAGAATGAATTATTTAAATACTTTTGTTACACAGCTTTCTTATGTGTCCTGTGAGTATGAAGATCACCACATCTTGTTTTGGCTGGTCTCCTATTCATTTACATATCTGATGCACAAAGCACTGCAGCAGCAATGGACAGCATGCTGTTAGTATTGGGCTTGTTGCTGATCATGGGCCAACCTCAGCTGGTCTCTCAGCATCCGTTCCTTATTCCCTCCTTCTTGAATAGATAGATTACAAAGTACACTGAAGGAATAACGACTTCTGTCATTTCTCTGCCCAAGTTCCTCTTGTTTGGAGTCCTTGTGGACGTTTGCTTTGTAGCACTGCCTCTCTCCTGTCATTGTTCATTTAGGAAACGGCTTCTTGTTAGTCTTTCCGTTTTGGCTGTGGTATGCCCATTTGTGTCTGCCATGGACTGTCTAGGTTTCTTTCTGCTCGTTCCCACTGTGCCTCTGCTTTTGACATTACCCCTTTTCATTTGCCTGTCCTTGAAAATGGCCCTGAGTGCTGGGAATTTTCCTGTTTGATAGAACAAAGTCATGTATAATTGAATGATATAATGGATCCCAGTACTATATTATCATTCTGGATGTTTAAGGTCTCAGTATAAACAGAAGTGCAGATCAAAGTTTAGGTCTAATGTAAGAATGATTTAGTTACTTTAAGTTGTACAAGGCTAGCATTGTGAACTCACATTTTTGGGCTTTGTGTAAGTTATGCTATGCATATGTGTGTGTTGCTATTGCAGTTGTGATAAAGGTAGGATATTTTAATACATTTATGTACAGTTAAAACCCCACAGTTTAATGTATTTTGTAAGGATTTTATATGATAGAGCATCTCAAAGTTGTGCACAGTTGTGAAGTGGAAAGAAAGTAATATTGTACATAATACAGTATTTCTAAACGTTTTACAAATACAAATCTGAAAAATGTGACATGAATTTATATTCAGCCCCCCCCATTTTCTGTGACACTTAACATTTACCTGATTAGTAAAAAGACTCCACACATGTGTAATTTATTCTGTGTAAATCCAGCTGTTCTGTGAAGAGCTCAGAGCTTTGTTACAGAACATTAAGAATCAAATAGCATCATAAAGAACAAGGAACACACCAGATAACTATCAATGTAGTGGAAAAAGCAGCTACAATGAATAGGAAAATGGTAAATGCATCGAAAAAGGCTTCGGATAAACTGAAAACGATAAGAAAAAAACTGGATGGATGAGTATGTAGATTAGGGCTGCCATGATTAGTCGATTAATCGACGACTAATTGATTATTAAAATAATCGATGACTAATAATCGATTAATCGTTTTCTCTTTTTTTTGTTCTTTACTTTGTTTTTCTCTCCAAACTGCTTTGACACCTTCCACTGCCACATCTGCCTTTCTGTCCTTGACACACATGCACAGCAGTGGTAACTGGGGTGGACCGTGGACGTCACAAGACATTATACAGGCAGGCTCTGGTATCATGGCTACCTGACAACGGAGCTCAAAAGTGTGGGATCATTTTAAGAAAATGAAAGAGAAACCTGTACAATATCTGCAGAGCAGAACTTGCCTTCCACGGCAGTTATTTTTAGTTAGCATATAGCTAAAATCTAACGATGGTTATATAATAGCAGCTGCATTCTGGCGCGAAAAGCTCTTTTATATTTACATTATATATTTTATGTATGTTTTATATTCAATTAATGTATGATCCGATTAGTCGACTAATTGAAAAAATAATCTGTGATTAATCGATTATAAAAATAATTGTTTGTGGCAGCCCTAATGTAGATGATATAAACAGAGTATATGATGTGTTTATGAATATTTTGGGAGTTCTACATGAAAATAATTGTGTGCAAAAAAACTTGTGCAAAGGGAAATGTTGTTGACGAGCTATTATTGTGAAATGGTTAAGAAGTGCTTATAAAAAGAATTGCTTGTATTCATGCTTCTAAAACAATAAGAAAAAAAAAGCAGAAGAGAGATACAAGAGAGAGGTTCATTCATTCTTCTTACTGTCCCTCTCAGATGGTGTCAGTTGTCACATATGTGCTTATTTGTTTATGTGCAGAACCCCACTTGGCGGAGCCTGGATTTTGGCATGCTCCCAGACCTTCTGGATACTTCAGTGTCTTGTTTTGTGGTGAGGATCTGGGGTGGACAGAAGGAACAGTACCAGCTCCTGATTGAATGGAAGGTCAATTTGGATGGCCTGAGATACACAGGACAGCAGGTCAGCAACCACACAACATTATAAATACATCAGTAGCGTGATGGTAAGACTGCCTAAACCGTGTGTACGTGCAGTGATTTGCCTTTCTTGAATAAAGAAAATGCATGTGATACTGGCAGGTGCGACGATGTGCAAATGTAGCTGCACATCTTACAGTTTATAGTAAATGAGCCAGTATCACACTGATGAGTACTCTGTCCTGCTGAACTGCTCTCCACATTCTTGTTGAGATTATGAAACAAATACATGATGGGTTGCCAGTGGTGGGCAGCACTAATCTAACAATTAGTTGCARTAACCCTAAAGCACTAACTTTAATATTTAGGTCCCCTAATTCTAAAGCACTAACGCACTTAAAAATTTAGCAAAAGATAATTCTAAAGCACTAAAAACCCAGCTGACCCATGGAACATTCGTCAGACTCAACATGAGACAATATTTTCTGTGTGCAGAATATTTAATCTCTTGCTAGGGATTCTCAAAGTTGGGGTCGGGACCCCTTTTGTGGGTCACAAAACATCAAGTGAGGGTCTCCAGATGATTTCCAGACATAAATTTAAATGCAAAAAAAAATATGCTAATGGAATATTTTCATCATGATTATTGCAATTTTGTAAAATAATCATTAATGGATAAAAATTAGTATTATAGGTACTAAATTTGTTTATAGTAATTATTCTCATGTTTAACATAGTTATTAATAAAGTTTGCAAACATAAACAAGTAACAAATGGGGTCACGAGTGTCTGTAACTGTTATTTTGTGGGTTAGAAGCAAAAAAGTTTGAAAACCACTAATCTAGTGGATAAATGACACATATATGAACAACATGTCTGACAACTTTCACTCTCAGCTGTTGACAATAATGTTCATCAGTAATATTTAAATAACTCAATTATTGCTTGTAAATTTAGCCCATAAATGTAGCAAACGCTAATCCACTAATAAATTAAGAAATTAGCAAAAGTTCTAAAGCAGTGTTTCCCAAAGTTGGGGTCGGGACCCAAAGTGGGGTCCCGAAATGTCTAGGTGGGGTCCTGAAAAGATTTTCTGAATTAATTACATTTTTGCCTTAGTTGTTACAACGGAGTGAGGTAAGTATATTTATAATGGATAAATGTAGTATAAAAATATTGTTACTATGCCCATGTTTAGTTGACCTGATACAAATGTTTATCATCCAAAAATAGTTGTGGGCA